CAACTCAGCAGCTCCTGCATTGAGTGTCTGCCCCCTGGTGGTCAGTGCATGTCATAGCTACTGGTAGGATGGACACTTAGCATATTAGCCTTTTATATACATAGATTCTGTCAAATGGCTATAAAGTTTATAACTGCTGCTTCTTGATCTAGGTGTTTTTTGAAAACCTATGGAGTGGTATGAAATGTCTATACATTTCCTACATCCTCACTGTGAGCCAGTGGGGGTCTGTGGATTTTAGAAACACTTTGGCTGGAGGCTGTCTAGCTCTTCCAAAAGTGCTCTTCTTTGGGAATAAATAGTTAACACAATGCTCAAAATAGGGGAAAAGATGGAGAATCGGGATATTTGGACTTCTGAGAATAAGACTGATGATATAGACTTAAGAGGGTGGAAGAACATGTAGGAAAGTAAATTTCTCTCAGAAATAAAAATTTTAGTGATAAAGCTATTGTTGGTGATGATAAAAGGGTAGGACCAGCTGTTTTCCTGAAGTAGGACTAAGGGATGTAACAGTGAAATGCTTCCTCTTTCTGTTGGCCTTCAGGCTAACAGCTCCTGCTATAGATATGCTGATTAACTGGAGGAATTCTGCTTGAGGCTGGAGCAGTCCCTTTCTCAGGGAAGATGTGAGAAAATAAGCACCAAATGTAGTGATTCCAGAACCTGCTCAGATTGATGGCAGTTGACCAGGAACAAAGGGATTTAGAAATTTACCTCTTTTTCTAAGATACCCTCTTTAAATTGCCAGGCTATCTACAGTCCCAACCCATCTATTTGCCTGACCCATCCTACCTTTGCTATCAGAAGAAGTGGGAGTCTTCTTCCCCACTGGGTGCTACTGTGAAATATTCGGAGAAAAGGAATTTCCAAAACTCACACAGAAGAATGAGTGATTTTTACTTTCATGGATTTTAAAATCCCATTTCATTTAGTCCAGTTATAGAAGAAATATAGCTGGGGTTTCAGTAAAGCTAGAAGCAGAGCCAGTGTCCAGAGTTTTCTTTCCATGTTGGAGACAGTCCAGTACAGCGTCAGGCTAGTTGCAGTCCATTAGTCCATTGTGTGTATGTTGGGGGGTGGAGTTAGGGTGGTGGGGGGAGAAGTGGGAGTTCTGCATGGCTGTGAGCCACACAGGAGAATGCCAGGAAGCCAAGCATTAGCCATGAGCCAAGTGTGCCAAGAGTAACTAAGAGCACAAGAGAGCAAACTTCTTTGTTCAGGGTGTGGACGAAAAAGGGCCACATGCTAACTTGACTAACTCAGGGAAGGCCTGTGTGGCAGCCTCCCAAACTGAGAGACTTAAAGTAACCACAAAGGACGAACTGACATTAAAACCTTTAATTAAAAAGAAGTTTACAGTGAATGGTCTTGTCTTAGGCCAGTATCTTCCCTGACAAAGATCAATTTTGAATTTTCCTGAGCCTATTATCTTGTTGCATCTAAGATAACGTACTAGTTCAAAGTCAGGATAACTTGTAACTTCCCTTTTTCCTAAATCCTCAGGGCACAACAAAATGCCAGGTGCCAGGACAGAGACCACAATTCTTTTATTGTTATTATCATGTTAATTGTTGACTCTTAGCTATCCTGTACAAAGCTAAAAGAAGTATAGTATGTCTATTATTTTACCTCTTATCCAATCCCAGAGGTCTTCTCCCCTCCCTCTTTTTCTCTCACCTCCCTAATCTATCACCAAGAGATTTCATGTAACCCACTTATGTCTCCTCCTTTAATTGGAATGTATAAAACCACCTGATGGATTAAATAGAGACAGTAGCCTGAGACCAGGATGGCAGGACACACACAGGCTTTATTGGAGGGAAGAGTACCCCTGCCGGCTGCTACCACTAAGAGAGTGAGAGCTGGGGCTACAAGCACCTTTAAGAATAGGGGGCGGGGCTTAGGGCACTCAGCAGATGCTGATTGGTGATTAGGGACCTAGGAACTTAGGAATGGGGGGTTAGGGTATTTGGCAGGTGCTGATTGGTGGTTCAGAGCTCAGGAATGTCTGGCCACAGGTGGGATTTACATCTGTCCATCAACTGGAGGAAGGGAGATCACCTCCAGTTCAGAGCACTATTTCAATATGTTGAGATTCTGTTTCCCAGCAATTGTTGATAGTTTGGCTCAAATAAACTCACAAAAATTCTTTATAGGTTTGAATGTTTTTAACCTTAACAAGGGAATTAAGTATCCCAAATCTTCAGATACTTGCAATGGCCATGCCCATTCTGGCCAACCATCTCTGTCCCTAGGAGTGATTGACAGCAGTCACTTTCTCTAGTCATTCCAACCTCTCTGGGCATGTCTATCTTCCCTTTGTCCAGTCCCCATCTCCCAATATTTGGCAGGGAACATGCCTGTAATATCCGGTCTTCCCTTTGCTCCTTTCCTATTAATACCGTATTTTTCGGACCATAAGACGCTCCGGACCATAAGACGCACCAGTTTTTAGAGAAGGGAAATGAAGAAAAAAAGATTCTGAAATAAATAGTGTCCTAAAATATTTTATGTGCATTAAAACCCAACATCACAGTCATAAACACATGTAATCAACCCTGTAAAGTAAACAGCAGCATTTAGAACCATTTTAGAGCCGGGCAAGCACACAGAGACCACACAGAGCCGGGCAAGTAAAAAAACTTTTTTTTTAAAGTATATGTGTAGGCTATATTTGGACCATAAGACGCAGGGACTTTTCCCCCCCACTTCTGGGGCAAAAAAAGTGCGTCTTATGGTCCGAAAAATACGGTAATAACTAGAGGCTTGGTGAATGACATTCATGCCCTGGGGGGAGGGGGTGTCCCTCAGTCCAAGAGCTCTCAGGGATGTCCAACTGATGTCTTAGGCCCTCACTCCTTGGGCGTTGAGAGTCTGCCCCCTGCTGCCCAGTGGGCATCATAGTGACCGGTCGTTCTGATGTTCTGTCAATTTGCATATTGCCCTTTTATTTTATAGGATTAGCTAATTACAATGATATCACCTTGAGAATTAGTTCTCCCAGCTTCTCAAGTTAGGCCTTTTTGATCAATAAACATTTCCTTGCTCCAAACCTCTGATCTATTAAATACTGGCCTTTCTTTTACAATATGGGGCACACAAACCTTATCTCTATAATAGGGATATCAGTACATAACCAGATTAATTAAGTAGAAGAAGTCTGTGCTCATTGTGTTAAGTTCTCATTCCGATCAACCCAGGCATACTGGGCAGGTAAAGGATAATTCTTCCACACCTTAGCCACTCACAAATTGTTGATGGAAACTGATTTTTACAAGCTCAGTATTCCTCTTTCACCAAATACCAAATATAAGAGCTCATGTTGACATAATCATAGTTAATGATTCTTGAAAGCAAATTTAGAATTAGGGACAATTACAACAAAACATTAGAAGAATAAGTTGTAAAACAATTTATTTAAAATTACAGGAATAATTTCTCCCCGAAGCAAGCCAACCATTCTTTCATTGTTTTGGTATTTTGGAAAAGAGACAGACTTAAGTAGGTAAGACAAGAGACTGCAATTCTACAAGCATTTTCGTTTCTAGTTCCAGACAGCTGCTGGGTGATATCACCCGTTGTGAACACAGCCATGCGTGGAGGGAATTAGCAGATGAAAACCAAGCAAACTCAATATGGGGTGTGTAAATGTGCTTTCTCAGTCGCTTTCAATTCTCCTTAGAGATAGACACACCTAATAGTGAAGTTACATATGTGGATGTTTATATGAAGCATAAAGGATGAAGATAAACATTTCAAGGTTCAGATCATGTTGCTGCCCCAATTCAGAGTCTCCAAGGTCACAGTGACAAGAGCAATTCAACTCTCAGCTCCCTTCCAAGGAATAAAGAGTTTTCTCTGAGCAAAGGAAGTGCCAAAGTGTGTGTCTCACTGATGTCTTTCTAAGGTTGAACATGGACTTTGGAAACATAAACTTTTGGCTGCGGTTAACACAGACAGCCTTCAGGGCTGATATTAGGTTCTTCAGAGGGACTGAGGAAAACCTGAGAGAAGCTCAAACTAGACACTCAGTAATAAAATGTAGTGACAGCAGTTTTATTTGCAAAAAGTGATGGGGTCAACCTTCCCATGGCACCTGGGGTGAACTCAGAAAAATTGAAATCCCCCCCACCATGTTAGGAAATGATTCCCCAGAGACAGAGATGGCAACTTGGAGTGAGGAGGAGAGAACAATAGGCAAACCAGAGTGAGATGCCAAAAGGCAAAAGGCCTGACAGGAACAAGTGGAAGAACCATGTACTTTTCTGCCTCAAACAAAACAGCCTTCAAAGGCCCTTTCCTCCGCTTTGGTGGGTGAAATCACTTAGAATTACCACCAATGCGTTACACACATTTAAAGCTCTCCTTTCTGGTTTTATACTTTTCATAGAGGCAGTTTCCTTTGCAAACTTAAATAATTAATATAAGATGATGCTCCTTTGGGGAGTTGTAAAGACAATGGAAGAATAAGTCATTTCAGAGGAACAAACTTCACAGCAGGAGGCCATTTCCATTGCCTAATTTTCTCTCCCCCCTCAAGCTTTCATTGTTCCACTCTTACCCAGCGGTGTCATTATTGTACTGACATCATCGGGGAGACCATTGTTTAAAAATGAAACATACATGGTGAAATAGTTTTCTACTTATCTTTTCCAGGGTAAAAGCTTCTCTCCCCCACTTGCCACCACAGAAGGGTTAGCTCATGTGGGTGATGGATTGTTCCAAAGAGTCTGACAGCCCCAGAGAGGGGAATGAGAGTAAAAGTAACTGGTTGATTACCAATAGAGAGCAAATTGGCCACTTGAGAATTCAGTGTCCAGAATGACAAATGAGAAAATGAAAATCCTCAAGAGACTAGACTTTCTGATCAGCTCAAGTGCTGATGGCTGCTTTCAGTGGCTCTTCCTCCCTGTTATGTGATGATTTACATCTAACTGGACATCATTTTGCATTTGGGGCAGTCATTTCTAAAAGGGTGTTTGGAAGACTTTGAAGTTCTTAATTATAACCAGGAGACACTTAGGGGCTGAGCAGTGAAAAGGAAAGATGCTCCCCGTCTTGGGCTGTGGAATGTTCATTTATAGAAGGAACCCATGTCTAGTTGGTTTGGTCTGGTTTCTCATTCCATCACCCCATAAGGCAGCCTTCCAAGGTTTTCTGGACTCTGGAAGAAAATAAAAACGAGAGTATTCTTGGCGAAAAGATCCCCAATCAAGGCAGATTCAAGGATTTCAATATGTGGGTAGACTGGGCTTTCTGTTAATAGGCAACTACTAAAAATAGAAATAATTTGGAATTTCTTTGAAGGGAGGCCATTTCTACCAGCCCTCATTTGAACAAATCTGTCAAGTGAGGCAGGGTATATAATAAACTATAGGCATGCTAGCTGTCCTCAAAAAACTTAAGTATATTAGCAGTGCTAAGTCATATACACATGAAGAGAGATGAAAGAAGACCGTCAACTATTAGCCGCCAATTTGGCATAGCCATATGAGCTGTAGGAATTTAGAAGAGAAAGAGGGACATTTTAAGTTAAGTAATTGGGATAGCATTCAGGGAGGAAAGGTGATACAACCCAGGCTTTGAAAAATGGTTGGAACTACAATATGTTTCTGGGTGAGAATTGTTTGAATGAACAATGGCGCTGATTGGTGTTTTTACAATGATTTGGTGCAAAATAGTTTGTTTTGAGCAAAGGGGCCTAGAAAGTTAAGTCTGGACATAAGTTCCCATGTATGCATGGGCCTTCAACACCAGCTAGGGAACTGGCCTGGGTCTGCAGAGCACCAGAGAAATATGAGTGTTTTTAGTGGAATTAGAATGGCTTTCGAGGTCTGTTCCCTTCATCTGATGAAAATAAAAGGCAAAACAATATTCTCAACAGGTAAGAGCAACAGGTAAGACTGCCATTTGATTCTTCTTCGGTTTTGACATCTGTGCTATGGGAAAGAAGCATGAATAACACAGTGTCTGGCACATGGAAGGACAACAAATATTGCTGGATGTTTAGAACCAAAGTACAGTCATTTCCTAATGCAGATGAAGGAGATCTGAAGTTACCTCAGTCTCTCAAGGGTCAGCAATGAGTAATTTGAAGAGGACCAGGTTAGGAGTTATGTGAACTTGTGCATTTAACTTCACCTTCTTGGGTTTATGTTGCCTCACCTGAAATAATGGGGTTAAGTTTTATCAGTGGGCTCTAATTGGAAGAAGTTTTTTTGTTTGTTTTAGAGAGAGATGCCATACATTGTTTTGTCAGATACTCAGAGGGGTTTTTGATCGAACCTGTGAATTACATTCCTTTTTAGTTATAAGAGGTGTGATTCTGAGACCCAAGGATGATTTTCCTGCCTGGAAAGACAAGTGGGACTCCTGCCACCACTGCCCTGCCAATCCCATCACCTGGTAGGAGGCCTGTGGCTGATTGGGTTGACTGAAATGAGAAGGAAATAATTTTGTTCCTCTTTCAACTCAGCCTCAGATTCCCCAGCAAATTAAGGAGCACTATTGATCTGATCAGCCACGCTGGGGTGTAACTGACCATCAAAAGAGATGAATCATTGAAATCATCTGTTCCCATCAGAACATGGCATTGGCAACGTGCTACCACAAAAAAAACTTTTTTTTTTTTAGGAATTTTTTTCTATGTCTACTTTCTTTACAATGGCCTATGCCTTAAGGTTATTGGAAAGAATAAAATAGTTAATGGCCGGGGGGTAAGGGTGGGGTAAAGATTAAATGCTTTTGCTCTTAAGGCAATTGTTCAAAACAATATGCAATGATATATTTTTTGGAATGTGCACACTCAGGAGTCACTCCAATTTGGGGACTTGTTGATGATAATGCTGAGCAGATAAAACGAGCAGTTGAAGAAATGGTATTGTTCCCCAAAAGCTATTGTCAGTGTAATCTGCAGCATGGAAAGCTAGTTCTGGCACTTTCCAATGGAGGCAGGACTCCATTACTGGGTTTTGGCCTAATGTATTAATGAATAGAGATCTGAGGGATAAAGGACTTACAGTGTAATAAGGAAAACTCAAGATAAGATTAGGCCATAATCAAAATATATTGTGTTTTTAGATTGATTTTTAAAAAGTCAACTCTGTTTTCCTTTGTTTATGCCAAGTGGATTGTGGGAAGCTGATGCATATCATTGAAAAAAAGAATGGTATTATACTTTATTATAATATTCATAAACTGAAAATACCCAATTACAAGAACAAACTACGTAGATGCAGGCAAGAATAGATGATGTTTGTGAGAAAATATTTTGCCCATAAATGTAAGTAAACTTATTTTATCATTTTTGAATAATACCTGTCAGATTTTTAAAATGTACTTTTTATTGATTTTAGAGAGGAAGGGAGAAATAGAAATATCAATAATGAGAGAGAATTATTGATTGGCTGCCTTCTGCACGTCTCCCACTAGGGATCAAGCCCACAACCCCAGCATGTGCCCTGATCAAGAATTGAACCATGACCTATGAACCTCCTGGTTCATAGGTCAACACTCAACCACTGAGCTATGCTGGCCAGGTGCACCTGCCACATTTAAGTAGGTAATTAGAGCTATAGAAAAAGTCTAAAGTGGTGATGTTATGAATAATAGCACTGAAATTTATGATGATTACCTTTTCTTTCTCTTCTCCCTCTCTTTCATTTTCTCTGCTTCTCTAAATAGTAGAGGCATACCTCAGAGCTACTGCATGTTTGGTTCAAGACCACCACAATAAAGCAAATATTGCAACAGGGTAAGTCACATGAATGATTTGATTTCCCAGTGCATATAAATGTTATGTTTACATTGTACTATTAAGTGTGCAATAGCACTATGTCTAAAATACATACATAACTAAATTTCAAAAAGGTTATTACAAAAAAATGCTAACCATCATCTGAGCCCTTAGTGAGTCATAATCTTATTGCTGGTGGAGGCTCTGGCCCAGGTGTCTCTGGCTGCTCACTGATTGGGGAGTGGTTGCTGAAGGTTGGGATAGCTAAAACAAGACAAAAATGAATTTTGCCTCATCAGTTAACTTTCCCTTTCCTGAACGATTTCTCTATAGCAAGTGGTGCTATGTGATAGCTGGTTTACCCACAGTAGAAGTTGGAGTCAATCTTCTCAAACCCTGCAGCTGCTTTATCAACTAAGTTTATGTAATATTCCAAATTCTTTGTTGTCATTTCAACTGTCCTCACACCATGTTCACCAGGAGCAGACTCAATCTAAAGAAAACACTTTCTTTGCTCCTCTACAAGAAGCAACTTCCAATCCAATAGTTTTATTGTGAGATTCTAGTTTTCTTGCTATTTTGACCATATCTGCAGTCACTTCCTCCATTCAAGTCTTTAACTCCTCAAAGTCATGCATAAAGATTGAAATAAACTTATTTTCAATTCCTGTTAATGCGGATATTTTGGCCTTTTCCCACAAGTCATGTATGTTTTTGATGGCATCTAGAATGGGGAACCCTTCCCAGAGGTTTCAATTTACATTGCCAAGATCCACCAGAGGAATCTCTGTATAAGGCATCTATAAGCTTATGAAATATGTTTCTTAAATAATAGGACTTAAAAGTTGAAATAACAGTACACCTTGATCTAAAAGGATGCAAAATGGAAGTTGTGTTAGCAGGCATGAAACAATATTAACCTCATTGTACATCTCCATCAGAGCTCTTGGCTGACCACGTACATTGTCAATGAGCAGTCATATTTAAAAAAATCTCTTTTCTTTCTGAGTAGTAAGTCTCAACAGTGGGCTCAAAATGTTCAATAAACCATGTCCTAAACAGATGTGCTGACTTTAAAGTGAGAGACATGCAACTCTTCCTTTCGCTTGAACACTTAGAGGTCATTGTGGGGTTATTAATTGGCCTAATTTCAATATTGCTGTGACTCAAGAATAGAGACACTTGGGGACAGGGAGAGAGATGGGGGAACAGCAGTAAGTGGAACAGTCAGAACACATACAAAGTTTATGGGCTAAGTTCACCCTCTTTATATGGGCACAGTTCGTGGCAACCAAAAGCAATTACAATAGTAACATCAAAGACCACTGATCACAGATCATTATAACAAATACTACAGGCTCAGTGCATGAATTTGTCCACCTTAAAAGGAACTGTGGGCTGCGAGGCTACACTGGGCATAGGGGCAGGTCTTGGCCCATCCTCCATGCCCCCATATAGCCCCTCCCATTACAGCCCCCCTGGTCCCTTTTCTACTAGCAGCCCTGTTCCTGCCACTGCCTCTCCCACATGCTAACGGAGCTGGCCCCTCTTGCACCTGCTGATGGTGCGGAGTCATTGGGGCTGGCACCAACATCAGGTGTAAGTGGGGCTAGTGCCATCAGTGGGTGTGAGCAGTGGCTGCTGCCCTGATCACCCCTCAAAATCAGAGGGAGGTGGAGAAGCACATTGGGGTAATTGGGGCCGGTAGCTGTCACTCACACCCGCTGATGGTGCTGAATGATCAGAACCAGCCCCGGGCACCAGCAGCAGATGCAAGTGGCGGCTATGGTGCTGGCTGTGGGTACGAGTGGGGCCGTCTCTGGCAGCAGGTATGAGAGGTGGCCGCTGGCCCTGATTGCTCCTCAGGAGCAGGGGGAGGTGGAGAAGCCCTGAGGTTGCAATTGGGGCCAGCAGCCACCATTCACACCCACTGACAGTGCCAAGCGATTGGGACCAGCACCAGGCACTGGCAGTGGGTGCTAATGGCAGCTCTGACACCAGCAGCAGGTGCTAGTGCCAGGCAGGTCTGCAGTGTATGGGACCAAAGAATTTTTAGCAACCATCAGAGGCTCATCCCGATGACAGTGACCAGCTCCCCACCTTGGTCTGGTGCCCTGCTCACCTTCTCTACCACCCCACTATGGCCAATGCCCACCATATTCCATGCTCTGTCACCTGCTGCTAATGCCTGCCATGTTCCATGCACAACCCCTGGTGGTCAGTGCACGTCATAGCGACTGGTTGTTCGCTTGTTCGGTTGTTCAACTGTTCAGTCTATTTGCATATTAGTGTTTTATATCTATAATAATAAAAGCATAATATGCTAATTAGACTGGAAGTCCTTCCAGATGAAGCCAGGGCTCCAAGGGAAGCCCAGGTCCTGGTGCCAGAGGGAAGCCGGTGCCAGCAGCTGGGGGAAGGCAGGCCTACTCTTGCACACATTTCATGCATTGGGCCTCAAGTATATATATAATAACAATGAAAAAGTTTGCAATATTGCAAAAATTATCACGAAATGAGCAAATACTTTTGGGGGGGAAAGGCACTGATAAACTTGCTTGATGCAGGATTGCCAAAACCTTTTAACTTGTAAGAAAACACAGTATCTCTGAATCACAATAAAGCACAGTGCAATTGAGCAAGGTACACCTGTAATGAGGTTCCTTACTCTTCATTAGGCAACCTAAAGCCAGAGAAAATTTCCTTCAAGAAAATGAATTTAAGAACTTCACTTACAGAGTTCTTTGGAGAATACTGTCAAATAATGAGTCAAAATCACTTTAGGTAGCACCTTAACTATTTTAGACTTATCCATATCTTAACATTCACCTCTTTGGCATGAAAGCAGAACTTTCTACTCCAACAGTAATTTTCTTTCTCTATTGTCAACAGTTAAAAAAAATAACTTATCATAACTCAAATCTCGGGCATCCACTGGGCATAGTAACTGTTTCTGGTTGCCCAGATTTGAACCCTATTGGTTAACTCGGGAGCCCAGTGCAATGACATAGCAAACTAGTTGAAAGTAACAAAATGTTTATCTCAATCTCCCATGGCATCAGCAATCAAAAGCACCTGCTAATACCCTCTCAGGTAAAGCTGGAAAAGGGCCCAAATTGCAGTCACTTCACATTTGTAAGTTGTGTGGGACTCTACGCTGTGTCCCCATCAGGGTCCTGTGGTTTCAAAATACTGAATCTTCTTTCATATCATAGCTTATATCATGAGCAGAGTTAGCTCAATGTATGTTTATTGTAAAATTGATTTGTTTTTCTAAAAATGATTACTGTAGCACTAGCTGGTTTGCCCAGTAGATAGAGTGTCAGACTGCAGACTGAAGGGTCCCAGGTTTGATTCCAGTCAAGGGCATGTGCCCGATTGTGGCCTCCATCCCCAGTAGGGGGCGTGCAGGAGGCAGCTGATCAATGGTTCCCTTTCATCATTGATGTTTCTCCCTCCCTCTCCTTTCCTCTCTGAAATCATTAAAAATATATTAAAAATAAAAAATAAAATAAAAATGATTACTGTATATGATAGTTCTTTAAAAAAAAAAAATCAGCCTGATTTTACTGTGGTTGAATCTGGGGTAACACTTAGGTCAGATTCTCATCATAGTGGACACCAAGGGGAGGGGGAGTGTGGAAAGAGTTATAAAGGATATAATGAGGCTAATCTATAATAAAACTCTCATTGACTTCCTGAAAATGAGAGGATCTGACTGTAGATGGTTTACTCAAATAAAAAATAAACAGGGAACTATATTAAATGTCTTTAGCCATTTAGGTTATGAAATGCTTAAGTGCCACAAGCATTTTAGTTTTCTGTGTTGTACAAAATCACTGGCATTTTCATGTCAAGATGGCAGTTGTACCTTAGTTCCATACTAAATATTAATGAAAACTGTATTGCGATTAGGATCACTGCCGGAAACTTTGGAGATTTTGTGCTAGTTCTTCGACACTGGAAACACAGCATGGTGTTTTCATTGAACTCTCCAAAGCCACTTCTTTGTATCTGTAGAGGTAAGTTCTCACTGCAGAGGAATTATATCATGGATGTTTCATGGTGCCTTCAAAGGGCAAGGTAGTGTGATTGTGGTTTTCAAATCAATCTGATGGGTTCTGGCTGTACAGGCTAAGCTCTAAGGAATTCTGTGCTCCTCATTGATTTCTTATTATTATACTTCCCTTCAAGCGTGGTTCTCTCCATTTCACAGATGAGGAAACTAAGATTCAAGGAAATTAACCAGTCATTTACAATGACACAACATATCCTATATACTAAAGGATAATATGCAAATTGATCAGGACGGAATGACCAGTTGCTATGATGCACACTGACCACCAGGGGGCAGACACTCAATGTAGGAGCTGCCCCTGGTAGGTCAGTGCACTCCCACAGGGGTAGCTCTGCTCAGCCACAAGCCAGAATGATGGTTGCAAATACAGCAATGGTGGCAGGAGCCTCTCCCACCTCCTTGACAGCTTTAAGGATGTCCATCTGCAGCCCTGGGGAGCAGGCCTAAGGCGGCAGGTGAACACCCTCTGAGAGGTCACAGACTGCGAGAGGGGGCAGGCCAAGCTGAGGGACCCCCTTAGTGCACAAATTTTCGTGCTTCAGGCCTCTATGTATACACCCCCCCCCCCACACACACACACACAGAGTGGCCAGGTTATTATGATTTCTGAACTCATAATAATCTGGCTACTTGGTGTATATCCTATATAATAAAAGGCTAATATGCAAATTGTCCCCTCCACCAGGAGTTCGACCAGCAGGTAGACTAGCCAACCACTCATGTCCCCTCCCGCTGGACAGGCTGGCCGGACCCCACCCATGCAAAAGTTAATGCCCTGGGCCTCTAATACACACACACACACACACACACACACACACACACACACACACACACACTGAGTGGCCAGATTATTATGCGTTCAGAGATCATAATAACCTTAAAATCAACCCCAATTGATTCCATTGATTCAAAATCCTAAGAACTTTCTACCAGGGTTCCAAGCAGACTGTACCCTATAAGTCTCCCTTGGAGGATCTCAAAACACAACAAATACAGTAAGTATGAGAGAAGAAAGACAATGTGTCTATAATGTTGCATTGTTTTTGGTTGTAATGGTGGTGATGGTAGTGGTGATGTGTGTTTTATATTTCTCTGACTTTGGACAAGTCACTGTTCATTTGGTAACTTGTCAAATGGGGTGGGTAAAGAGTGAGTGGATAAGTTCAACTGCATCTATTCTCAGGACTGATGCTGAAGGGTTGTAGCATGTGTGTTTATAGCACAGCATGATCTGTGAAAGCCTGGAAAATTTGTAGCTTGGGAGGTTTCCCTCACTTGGGGGTTTCTCTTTCAAAACCCTTCCTGTTTCTTACCTCTAAATTTGAGAATTTCCAGAATTTCACTTAAAACCTTCTATTCTAGCCTTTCTTTTTCTTTGCGTGACCTCACCCTTTTCCAGCTTTGGTTTTAAAGTCTATTTTGTCTGATATCAGTATAGCTACTTCGTGTCACTTACATTGATATTTACTTCCATGGTGTATCTTTCCCCATCCTTTTGCTTCTAAATCCTTTGTATTTTGAATCTAAAGTGTCTCTGTACATATATGTAGTTGGAACATTTTAAAAAACCCATTCTATCAATAGTTTTCTTTTAATTGGTGAGTTAAATCCATTTAGACTAAAAATTAGTACTGATAATGAGGGACTTGGATCTGACATGTAGTGACTGGTTTTCTAAATGTCTGCTAATATCATATTACCATTCCTCAGCTCCTCTCAAACTGCCTTCATTTATGTCTGATTAATTTTTTCTAGTGTACCATTTTGACTTCCTCTTTACTTCTTTTCCTATATAATTTTTATTCATTTTCTTAGTAGTTACCATACGGATTAGAGTCAACACCCTAAATTTTTATCATTTTACTTCCAATTGATGACAACATAACTTTAATAGCATACATGAACCCTGGTCCTATCCAATTATTTACCTTACCTTATGCTATTGTCACAAATCACATTTTTGCATATTATGTGCCTATTAGCATAGATTTATATTATTATCTTATGCATTTGTCTTTTAAATCAAATAGGAAACAAAAGAGGAATAACAAACCCAAAACACAATACTAGCTTTCATGTAATCACTTTTACTGTGATAGGACTGTTACCTGTAGTACTCCCTTTAGTATTTCTTATAGGGCAGACTTAAGAGCAATGAATTTCCTTAGCTTTAATTTATCTTGGAATGCCTTCATTTTTTCTTCATTATTAAAGGATAGTTTTGTCAGATTTGCAGCTCTTGGTTGGCATCTTTTTCCTTTCAGCATTATAAATATATCATATCACTGTCTCCAGCCTCCATGATTTCAGAGGAGAAATTGGCTGTTAATATTATTGGAAATATTTTGTATGTGATGAGTCACTTCTCTCTTGCTACTTTCAAGATTCTTTGTCTTGGCTTTTGACAGTTTCATTAGAGTGTTTCTTGGTGAGGATTTCATTGTGTTTATTATACTTAAAGTTTTAAATTTACTAGATGTGTATATTTATATATTTCATCAAATTTAGAAGTTTTATTTTGTTATTTCTTCAAATAAGTTTCTTTTCCTTTCTTTTTAATCCTACTCTTGATGGTATCCCATAGCTGCCTTCAGCTCTATTCATTTTTTTAAATTTTCTTTCTTTTTTCTCTTCAGACTTGGTATTTTCAATTGCCTTATCTTCAAGCTTGCAGATTCACTTGGCTGCTTAAATCTACCATTACACCCCTTTAGTTATTTTTTATTTCAACTTTTTTTTTGGCATTTCTATTTTGTTCCTTTTAGAATTTTCATCTCTTCATTGATATTTTTTATTTATGCATTAGTCTCACAATTTTCTTTAAGGCTTTATTAATGGGCTCCTTCAGCTCTTCACATATATTAACATAGCTCATTTAAGCTCTTGTCAGGTATGTTCAGTGTCTATTGACTATTTTCCCCTATGAACAGCCCATACCTTTCTGACTTTTGTTTGTTTGTTTACTGTGTGCCTGGGCATTTCTAATATCATAATGTGGTGACTCTAGGAATCATATTATCCTTCTTCTCCAGGAATTTCTGATGTTTTAGTGATTTCTTTAAACTATTTTTAGAAGAACTACATTTCTTATCATGTGTGGTCACTCACTGGAGCCTCTGTTTTATTATTTCAACAGTCAACTAATAGTGTAACCAGAATTTCTTCAATGAATGGAACCAATAAAGAAAGAAAAAGAAGACATTCTGTTTTTCTCAGTTCCCCTGACAGACACTGTCAGGTAAGTACACTGCATCAGTCTGAAAGGCTGAAACAGTGGCCAACTCCTGAAGTGACCTTCCAGGCAGATCTACATATACCCCCTGATATTTGGAGGACAAGGAGCTCATTGCTCACCTTGGCAGCTTCACGGTACAGCAGGAACATAGGCTGCCATCCCCACATCCACCTGCTGTCGGGCTGGGGGATGGAAGATGGTAACTTCTCTGTAAAATGTAAAATCCACCAAATTTTTCAGCCTCTTACATTATTAAGACTCCAGATTTCCCAAAGAGCTGGTTCCAACTATTAGTGCCTTTCCAATAGTATTTTTTTCCCAGGGTTAGGACTGGTTCCTGGAGTTTCCTAGTCCATCATCTTCCAAGACACCACTCTGTTGTCTTTTAAAATTACCATTACTGTTGCTCTTTGTTGTTGTTGGTTTTTTTTTGGTTGTTTGTTTGTTTGTTTTTGTGTGTGTAAATTAACATCACTGTCTGATACCAATTCTTTTCAGCCTAAAGAACTTCCTTTAGAATTTCTTATTATTAAGTGATAGGCAGGTCTACTATCAACACATTCTCTCAGCTTTTGTTTACATATTATCTCAAATGCCCAGTCTTCAACAAGAAAATTACAAGCTATTCAAAGAAAAGTTTCCTAGTCCATCATCTAGGAATGTATTTGTTTTGCCTTCATCTTTAAAAGAATCATTTGTTTTGATGATTCTTGGCTGACAATTTGTTGGAGTTTCCTTGTATATGATGAGTTATTTGTCCTTCACTGCTTTTAAGATGTTCTCTTTATGTTAGACTTTCAAATGTTTTACAATTATGTATCTGAATGTGGTCTTCTTGTGTGTGTGTGTGTGGGGGGGGGTTGAGGCATTTTTAGCTATTTTTAAAATGTTTTGCTGCCTCTTTTTCTTCTAGTACTTCCATTATACATGCTGATGTGATTTAATGATGGCCTACATTTCTCAGATGTGCTGTTCATTTTTCTTTATTATATTTTGCTGTTTTCTTCAGAGTGAGTGGCCCCTGTTGATTATCTTCAAATTTGTTGATCTTTTTGTTCTGCCAGATCTCCTTTTAAACTCTAGTGAATTTTTTATTTCCATTATTATAATTTTCAACTCCAAATTTTCTATTTGGCTCATTTTTATAATTCCTGTTTTTTTCATCAGTATTCTTTATTGGGAGAGACATTGTCCTCATGTCTCTGTTTAATTCTCTAGACATGCTCTTCTTTATTTCTTTGAACATATTTATAAATGGCTGCTTTAACATCTTTGTTTGCTAAGTTCAACATCTGAGTTCCTTCAAAATCGTCACCAGTGCCTGCTTCCCCTGTTGTATAGGTCACACTTTTCTGCTCTTTGAATAGCTTGTAATTTTCTTGTTGAAGACTGGGCATTTGAGATAATATATTGTGGAAGCTCTGGAATTGATTCCAGGTCTGTCCCTACCCCCAGAGGTTCATATCAGCTGCTGTTGTTTTCCATTTCCTTGATTTATTTGTTCAGTTATTTGGCTGAACTAACTCTGTGAGGTCTGTTTCCCACCAGTGTGCAATCTTTCTATTTTTTTTCTTTTTAACCTGGCTATTTAGTGGTCAATCATGAGTTGGCATATGCCACTTATTGGTCAAAGGTTATGCATAAATTCTATTGGCAATTAGATTTTTGCCTTCATCACTGGCTAGTAAGTAGCATCAAGACTACTTTTATAGGTGAAGGGATTTATACTTTTGCTTCCTGTTTATCCTGGGACTAGTAGCTTTGATTTTCCTTCTCCATTCACTCCAGAGAGAGTACAGCTTTTGGCATACACATAGTTTCAGACTACTAGTAACATATGTGATTTCATTTTTAAGCCTACCATGTTAGGAGCTGCTCCTGGGTTGGAGTAGCTTATTGTTCAGCTACCATTTTCATTAGAAGTTGTCCTAGTGCCAGTGCCTCCCTCAGTGATGGATTTGTGTGCAGGTTGGGAAATGTTTCCAATCTGACCCATGTCCTATTCTGATTGCTCTTGGGTGCAGTCTGTCACTGTGTGTAGCATTCCCAACCCAGGAGGGCATTTCTTGGTTGTCTCTTTCCGTGGTTCTCTCTGTTAAATTTCTGATTTCTCTACTTTTTTTTACTCATTGCTGCAAATATTGTGAAACCATGAGCATCCTCCTAACTGCTCTCCACCAAGATCCCCAATGTTTTTGGCAACACTATAGGCAAGGAATTGTTTTTAATCCTAACCTGAGGATATATTTTTATTGATCTTTAAACTAAAGAAACATCAATTGATTGCCTCCAATGCATGCCCTCTCACCCTGATCTGAGGATGGAACCCACAATCTAGGTATGTGCCCTGACAAGGAATCAGACCTGTAACTTTTTTTGATGTATAAGACCATGCTCCCACCAATGGATCTATAAGACCAGGCATGGGCAAGGGATTTACCATGCTTTGCTTCAAACAGAGTTACTCCCTTTCAGGAAGAGCTGCAGTGGCCTGCCTCTCTTGCTGGCCTGAAGTACTATTCCACTCCACGAGAGTTTAGAATGAAGGGGAATGCCCAACTACACCAGGAGTTACACCCTATTCTATAAGTAGACATTGGAAGATGTGGTGACCCCTGTTCTTCCTGGCTTGACCCTCCTGGCATGGGATTCCTGTTCTACCAGGAAGCTGCTCAAAGATGTTCAAGTCCAGCATTGGTGGCAACCATGTCTGGAATATCCCACAAGTACGGGCTAGGTGGAGGATCGGAGGTCTAGTTCTCTCTGAATAGAGCTGCTGCAATGGGGGCTTTGGAGGAGGATGAAAAATGCTGATACCTTGCTCCTTCCTTGGTGATTCCATAGATGTAGCTGAGAGGGGCACTTCATGGCTCAAATATTACAGATGCTCTATTCTTACTGTGATTTAGTAAATTTATTTAAATGACTATTTCTTCATTTGCTGTATGTTGTCAGAATAATGTCCAGAGGCTTTAAGGTGAGATTTATATATGTGTATCATTTGTATGAGTTTTATGTAATATTTTATATTTTACAACTTTACTAAAGAGATAGGTAGATGTATAGATATAAATAGATAGGTACCTATAACTATTAGGTGGATAAATACATGATAGATAGATAGTTGATAGATAGATAGATAGATAGATAGACAGACAGACAGACAGACAGGTTTTCTTCAGTTAAACTGTTATTTTGTCAGGGAGAAAGTTTGCTGTGCTTTTTATTCCATCATCCCAGAAACTGGTCTTGTATTTTAACTCTTACATATCATCTATTAGATAATGATGCCCAGGTGCCTATCTCCAACCCAGCCTTTCATCTGGATAGCAGACTTCCATATCTAGCAAACCACTTGTCATCAAGAAGTCTTTGTTTTCTTCCTCAAAAAATGTTCTATACAGGTCATCTTTATTTCAGGAAATGAAACTACCATTGACCCAGTTAATCAAGTAAAAAACCTGAGCATCAGCCGGGATGCCTCCCTCTTATCGACCACATGTAATCTATCAGCAAGTCTCATTAATTCTATCTGTCAAATATATCTAGAAACTGCTCATTTCTCCCCACTTCCGTGCCTACTGCCCGGGTCTAAATCATTTCCCTTCTCCTCATCTCTTAAAATAGCCTTCTAATGTACTCTGCTTTCATTCCTGCCCCTCCAATATGTGCCTCACACAGCGCCCAGAGTGGCCATTCTACATAAAATATAAATCCATGCCCCCTGACATACGCTTTACCACTAGCTTCAACCCCGTGTGAACTGGCGGCTCTTTACTTCTCCCAAAATTATCCGGAGCCCCTCTGGTGCCTGCTCTGTTACAGCTATGCTGTTTTCTTCCAGTGTGCTTTACTATGCCTGGGGTTTTCACTCCTTCTCTCTCCGCATGGATGTCCTTTTCCTCTCTCTCTCTCTCTCTCTCTCTCTCTCTCTCTCTCTCTCTCTCTCTCTTAAATGTCACCTCCTTTAAGGAGCTTTTTCTCTGTTGTTCTCTGTTGCTTCATCCCATTTATTTCCCTGGTAGTTTTTATGTAGTTTGCAATTATTAATTTGTTTAATGATTTATTATCTGCTACCCCCACAAAATGGCAAATTCCAGGACAGCAAGAATCACAGTTGTTTTGCTCATCATTCTGTAATAAATACCTGCTACTAAATAAGAGTTTCCACTTACCAAGCACTGTATATTTGCTAGAACTACTGTTCTAGATACATATGAATATATATATATATGTATATATATATATGTGTGTGCATACACATGTATACTCATATATACACATATGTATTTACATTTATATACCCAGACACACATGCAAACACACTCATTTAATTTTTGTATAATTTACTACACTTGATCTTAGCCAAAAGGCCGAGAAGCGATTAATTTTTGTATAATTTTGTGTTCATTTTACAGCTGGTTAAACTAAAGCACAGGGAGGTTAAGTGACTTGCCCAAGGTTACACAGTGCAGTGCCAGGAACAAAATAGGTGCTCAGTTAACATTTGTAGAATGAATGAACAAAGAGGGAAAGGAAATGACAAGGTTATCACTGCCTAGAGCAGTGCTGTCCAACACAGTTTGCAGGGCTGACGGAAACATTCCACATCTGCTGTCCTTCACAGCCATCACTAGGCAGATGTGGCTGCTGAGCACTGGGCATGTAACTTTAAGTGAATAGTCACATGTGGCTACTGGCTACCACATTGGACAGTGCAGTAAGACTTCTATGAGGTGGCTTTTAATGCCTTGATGTTTATGAAGTCTCAAATTTAACTCCAAAGACAGAATACAAAATTCCCTTCTGCATTTCTTTTTCCCCTAGTGCCTTCCTCCCCCAGTTTTTCCAACATCCTTCTTCCTCCCACTTTCTTCATTCCAGCCTGTAGAATCAAGCCTCCTCCCTCATGTGCAGCTCCAGCAAAGCCAATTCCCCACCCCCTCAATAGTGCCCTAAACAGTCCTCCAAAAGCATTTAACAAGTCACTAAGCATCTAGCGTCTACTTGGATGAAGCACTGGCCCCGGTCCTGGGGAGGGCGGAGAGAGAAACAGAGAAGTTAAACAAGGTCCCTGTCTGAGAGTGAAAAGGGTTAGGCTGATCAACACAATCATGGTAGGCCTTGGTCCAGGAGGAATGGGGGTGGGAGTGGGGAGTGGAGGCTGAATATCTAGGACTGCAACTTCAGAGCTACAAATTGAGACTCCGGAGTGTCCCCTTTGCAGAAATTGCTGTAAAATGTGACTGATTGCATCAGTGCACGGACCAGAAAAATCAATGGATGGAATTAGATGGCTTTTCAAGTCTGAACTCAGGACAGACTTGAGAAAGTCTTATTGCAAGTCTAGAAAGAGACCACTGGCCCAGATGGAGAGAACTGCTATTATAGTTCACCCTTGATAGCTTTGGCTGATGGGAGATGGATCTAGTTCTTATAACACACACCGACCTTGCATAGAAAAGAAATAATGGAATAAATATTAGATAATATGACTGAGATCCAAGTACAAAAAAAGATGAAAAGGAAGAAGAAAAAAGTGGTGCATATTAATTGTCTAAATCGAGGACAAT